TATATATATATTTATTTTTTTTTAGTGCATACTCACATTTTTGTAATGGGTGGTTCTTTAACCAGTAAGTCAGGTGAATGATTAAAACAAAGAATTGCGTTGTTGGCTGACCTGGGAATTGTCCTGTGTCCTGTTCAATCTTTCATTGCTACTTCCTTCTCCCCTTGACCAAACACATTAAACCACGGGGGAGTATATAAACCCAGAGAGGAACAGAGGAATGTGAGGTTAATACAGGCAGGTGTCTGATGTGCTCTGGTATCTGGTTCCTGCTGCTGTCTTCCGATGTGGATATCCTAATGAGGGAAGGTTTAGCCAGTAAGACTGCAGGCTCTTTGCTTTGCTCTTTGCTCTTTGCTCTTCCTTTCTTTCCATTTTTTCCACTAGTTATTTAAGATTTCATAATCGAGCAGAATTACATCCTAGAAGGCAGCTGGGTCCAATGTTTCATGTTCTTGTTCAATGGATTCCCCCAGTGCCACTTACAAAAATTTCCTTGTAATGCTTTTAGATAGCCTCTGCAGAACTTGTTGAACACTTTCATGGCATCAAGCCAAATAACAGATGAGACAAACTGAAGCCAGAAAGAAAAGGGGTGTTTTTAAGGACAGTTGTGTCTAGCTTCTGTACACGAGATTGTGTGTGATGTCACAACTCATTCTGGTTCCATCAATCCACAGCTGTCAGGTGCTTTATTGTACTGTGCTATGCTAAGTAATGCTAGGCAGAAAGAGATCTCTGGATGAGTGTATTCAACAGTTAAGATGTAATATTTCATGCAACTAGTTGCACTGAATGAATGTTAAAATCTTACGGATTCATGTCTTGAAGCGATTTGCAGATGTTTCTGATACAGATAATAAACCAAAATCCTAAGGGTATATATGTCAAGGAAGAATTTAAGTGGCACAGGAATCATGTTGCATGCACCACTCAGCGTAACCAGTTCACTGCTGACCATTTATCTTTTCAGAGTTGGTTGCTGGAGTCCCAAGGGGAGCACAGAACTTCGGCTATGTATGTATTGGACCCACATTTTATCCTTTTTATAGTGAAAATGTAGTTAGACCATTTGGAAGATTAAAGTCTACGTTATATTTTCTGTCTCTTTGATCCTAAACTTTCTAATCAGAGAAAACTGCTACTGACTTTCACCCTTGGGCTTACCTGGCTGAGATGAAATGCCTTACTGGTTTGGGCTTTGAATATTAAGCACTTAGTCCTTTCTGAAGTTTGTTTTCAGTAGTCAATCACAAGCATGCTTTGAGTAGGACTAGTATCCCTATACCCGCTGCGTGTTATCAGACCTAAGCTCACCCATAGGTTAGCATATTTCATGTGCAATGCTGTGTCCACAGTGGAGAGAAGTCCAAGTTCAGATTATTTATACCCAGTGTTTATTTTCAGTGCTCTAAGTATATACACTGCATATCAGGTGCAAAGAGTCATGAGATGCAGTTAGAAGTGAAAGGAGAAAACAGTATACAGGTGTGGATACATCTTCTACCTCATAGGAAAAAAAAGTTTCAGAACTAATCTGATTGGGAAACAGAGATCCCAGCCACAGACACGTTCCCTAGTTTGGTGGGCCCAAAACTCCTTGTTTCTCTGGAACTTACTCATACCATTTTTCAGAGGAAAGGTGTGTATGTGTGTGTGTATATATATGTCCATGTGTACATATTTCTTTATGTTTTAAGTGCATGTTTTTGTGCGTACTAAAATGGTCACTGATTAGCCGATAGTCTGTGATTTGCTGCTGTTCAGTGTCCAGTAAGGAAGGAAAATAGTCTTTTCCCCATTTTATTCACGGGGGACCTGAGACTCATAAAATCTTAGCGATTTGTTCAAGATCATATAGGAAAACTGTGGGGAAATGAAAGAATTGTTTTTTTCTTGGCCACTTGGACCATGCTTCAGTGAGTCAAATTGGTTTGCAGTGATGTTACACTGTAGCATCTCCATGTGTGCTTGAAACTTTCCATATTTTTCTGTTACCAGGTCTCAATTATTAATTCTTCAGACTTGACCTTTATCCAGAACTTCACTGGTGAACAGGTAATGTCAAGCAACTATCTGATGAAGTATTATATCTCTAGAGGATATGGTTTCATTAGCATAGTTTCAAGAATATATAAAATATTTTTTTAGAATTAATAACCATAGAAACAAAGAGGATTATCAGTAAAAACTTTTTTAAAGTTGATATCTGATATGAAAGCCTATCTGTTGTTTTTTATTTCCAGATGGCGTCTTATTTTGGGTACACTGTTGCAGTATCTGATGTTAACAATGATGGGTAGGTTACCAAATACATTCAGCTCCACTGAACATTCATAGAAGCAATGCCTGATATTTGTTAATAAACACAGGTTTTCAGGTGCTTCATACCTCAAAATGCTTCTCTTGGCTTCTCTGCTTTTCTAATTTTAATTGTTCAAATGGACTTATCTTTGTGCAAGCACAGTGGCACAAGTATTTGCAGGCCTACTTTCAGTGAGTTTAACTTCCTCAATATTTATTCAAAGCAGTATGATAGAGTGGGAATGTCCAAAGTCTTAGAAAACAGATCGAGGTAGAAGAACAGTGAATAAACAGTGCTAGCTACTGCTGGGAAAAGATAGGGGAAAGTCAAAAGTTCTTTCTCCCATTCTCACAAGCAGGTAAGTCTTCTCACATGTGGACCCTCCATAGCCTCACTTCTCAATTTTAAAAGCTTTCCAATATAATCAGCTCCTCATTCCAGCACCTGCTGGTTGGCCATCCATTTTCACTATCCAGAGGACCAAAAAGTGTCTATGGCCCATAGTGGTAAGGACAGGCATTGTGCTTGTCTCAGGGAGAATGCTGCTCAGCTTGCAGGGTCACGCCTAAGACACTCTGGATTTCAGGCCCTGTTAAACAAAACGCTTGCTAACTTTGAACTCATGTAAAGTCTGATTAAATGCTTCAGAAGATTATTACTTTAGTAAGTGAATACTGATACTTGCTTTCTTGCAAGGAGATAAAGATCTCTGAATCTCAGACCCATGGAAATGTGCACAAAGGTGAGCCAGGATTATATTTAGAGCTGTGGCATACTGCAAAATGTCTTAGATGTGTCTATTTCATATTCTTTTCCTGTGATTATTTCTTACTCGGTGCTTAAACATAGTGCATTAAATAATTTCTCTGGGCTAAATCATTGCTTTCCATCAGTGACTAGTGACCCCTTAAAGAGTGAGGGATACGAGAAAAGTAACAAGGTCATAAAATGTTATTGCAGTTACAAAACAAAACAAAGCAGAACAACCAACCAAACAAAAACACCCCAAAAAAAGAAGCTTTGACAGTTTCTGTGGTGGCTTCATAGTACTTCAAATCTTTCCAAATTTGTGAGGTCAAATTTTGTCATAGTACCGTAGCTTTTGGAAATTCCTATTTTTATGATATACAGAGTCAGGATTAGTTTAGTCTTACCATAATGCATTATTAATGTGAAAGGGTGGAGAAACATGGGTGTAAGTTACAATAGACACTCATTAGTCTTTTGGGGAACTTGCTATTTAACTTCTCACTGAACCAAACTATTTCCTGTGCAGGTTATTTCCTGTGAACCATAGATTTACTTGGCAGGTCTCATATTTTCTGTGTACCTCTAAGACCACAGTTTATGTCAATAATGTAATCAAACTGCTGTTGAGGCCTGTGTGGTCTCCCAGTCTATATCTTAAAAGAAATCTAATGACTCTGTCTGAGATCCAAACATCTCACAGAAAACAAAACACAAAAAGTTTTACTTGATAAACATGTCTGATTAGATATGTAGTCTGTCTTTGCTGGTTTGCACATACAGTCGATAGAAGTATTTATCCGAAAGGGAGACTATAA